ATTAAAAACACGTACCAAAACCAGGGGTTTTTTGCCAGAAAGTAAAAAAAGGGGACCATTACAATAAAACCCCCGGACGGCGAGCCAGGTGGTGCGAGTGAACGGCAGGGCGAGTGACTGCCACCGTGGAAACTCACCTTCACTCTGGATCATAAAGCATGTCGACTGCAACAGTATATTGTAAAACTTTAAAAATTTTTTCACACGTAAGAAATTAAGTGTCATTGCCTAATATATTTTGAGTGATACCGTATTTTGCAAAATGAAAAATGTGATCATGTGTTTATGTACGCTAATAAAGAAAATCAGACAGGAACTACAATTAACTAAAAAAACAGAAGTCTGTAAACCCATTTGCATTCATAAAATAATTGATATTTTCTTAATTTTTTCCTGAAAAATCTTAGTATCTGGTTCATATTATTTCTTTAATATACAAGCATCTCTAAGAAAAATCGTATAAATAACTTTCTCTTTTCAGTTCTTCATGGAAAGTGAGTTAAAATTTTGTATCTTTCAAACATACGTGACTTAAAAGGTAAGTGAATTGCTTGCAACAATTATTTAGCGATGCCTTATCAGAAATATTATAATAAAAGAGTGAAAAAAATTATTTTGTAATGTTTGAATATGTTAAAGTTTCTCTTCCCAAGAAGCTGGATGACTAGAAACGTAAATTAGAAAATCGAATCTTTCAAATATCTTGGTGAAGTTAAACTTTTCCACAAATTCACCACATTATATCTAAATAGAGTCTGTAATTATATTAGAAAAATTAATCAAATAAAATTATTTCCTGCCCTTGCAAGAGCAAACCCTCAAAATTCTTCTTCGGAGTCAAATATCAACCAAAGTCCTTAATACGAAGAAGAAACTAAACTTTCCTAATTTAGTGATAGAATAACTGAGGTTAACTTTGTAATTGGTGTGAAAATTTGAGACATGAACAAGATACAGCTACCTAAATCTAACTGAATTGTGATAAGACGTAATTTAATTAAATTCTATAATCTGCTGTACTTGAAGTGTGTCGCTGGACATATAGAGAATTTACCTCTCAGAGGCACCTTCCATCATGGACAATTTCTGCCAAAGAATGGCGTCTATGTTTTTATGCTAACTTGGGTGTTGATTACTTGGATAACTGGAGATGCCTCTTGTGTTCGGCTCCAAGCATACGAAGTTAATGCATATTACTTGAGGGAGTTTCAAGCCGGTCTTGGAGAGTGTAAGACCTAATTCTCTAATTCATTTATAGAAATTGTGATAATGGATTCAGTTACATAACTTTTCAATCGCTCTACTCGACAACTTCAAACAATCCAAGGTGTATATCTTTTCTTTAACTAGAAGATGGTTTTGATTATTTCATTTCCAGACAATCTTGAGATTGTTCATCTTAAAATTCACCTAAAAATTCCAGACTACTTAGCTGCACAGTGCTACTCTTCCTGTGCCTTTCAATGTGTCGATCTCAAGCTCCTACGAATCTTGGTTGGGTTGAGCTATAGTTTTAGATCTCTTATGGAAGTCACGATGCAGATGCCCTGCATTTTCAATGCACTGAAATAATGGGACTGGGGTTACAAGATGTGTTGGGACATACCTTCCTTGGATCGTGCAGCAGCCGGAACAAGTATTGCTTTTCAGTATTTTATCCAGAATGCTGGTCAGCAAATCTCACTAATATTTATTGATTCCTGTGTATATCCCATTATTTATATAGGCATCACGATTGCTAGTGTCTAGCAGTTGCTCTGTTTCCATATATTACTTGTATATCCTCTTAAAATTGCTACACACCTTCTTGCTTAAATCTTTGCAAAAATATCAGTTATATTTTGGTACTTTCCACCTCAATTTTTAATGTTATTATCTGGTTCCTTACAGTAATTTACAGTAATTTCCGATCTTATGTTGCTGTGCAACACTTTAAGCTCTGTTTTTGCCGTTTCTGCTACGTTGTTTTCACAATGACTTTCTGATTTCCATCTTTATCATATTACAGTTATTTATAACTCTTTACTATATGTTTTCTGTAATCTCTTATTTCTTACTATATTTCTGAACATTTCTTTCTCAACTATGGACTCTCGTCACTTTGTTTTCCGTTTGTTTCATGCTGGTACAAGTCTGTCTGTGGCTTCCTGGAATATATTTAATAAACTTTTTGTCATCTGATGTACTGTCATGCATTTTATTTTCTCTTTTCTGTTGAATTTCGTGTACGAACTCTCTCATGACTATTATTTTTTTTCATTGGCCATTTTACTTATGTAATATTTTGTTTAATTCCTTTCCATAGACACGAGGTGATCACTGTTCCAGGCAACTTTATTCTATGAAGCTGAGATAAGATCAGTTAACAATAAATCAGTTAGTTTGGACAAGATTAGCAGTAATATAGGTACCTGAGACAATATTAGCAGTAATATAGGTACTCGAGACAATATTAGCAGTAATATAAGTACCCGAGACAATATTAGCAGTAATATAGGTACCCGAGACAATATTAGCAGTAATATAGGTACCCGAGACAATATTAGCAGTAATATAGGTACCCGAGACAATATTAGCAGTAATATAGGTACCCGAGACAATATTAGCAGTAATATAAGTACCCGAGACAATATTAGCAGTAATATAGGTACCCGAGACAATATTAGCAGTAATATAGGTACCCGAGACAATATTAGTAGTAATTAGTACCCGAGACAATATTAGCAGTAATATAGGTACCCGAGACAATATTAGTTAGTAATATAGGTACCCGAGACAATATTAGCAGTAATATAGGTACCGAGACAATATTAGCAGTAATATAGGTACCCGAGACAATATTAGCAGTAATACAGGTACCCGAGACAATATTAGCAGTAATACAGGTACCCGAGACAATATTAGCAGTAATACAGGTACCCGAGACAATATTAGCAGTAATACAATAATGACATTAACATTCCCTGGTTTCAAACTGTCGAATGCTTGGAAAAATATGATTTTAATAACTTGTATTATACAGACGTGACAACGATTGCATAAGCCTTACCTCCTGGTCGTAATAAGTGGTGTACTCCTGAAACTCTTGACGACCGCCCACAGCCGTAATAAAAATGTTTGCCACGCCAATATCTCCTTCCTCTCTACCAAACAGTCCGACCATTCCGTTCCACGTCCCATTCGCAGTTATATCTCCCCACATTTCACCTAAAAGGGATCTCTCTTAAAATATTTAATCACACTTTTGTTTAAAGTACAAGTGTTAATAATTTATTTTAAACAATCCACAAAATTTAAGTGAATACAGTTTACTTAGAGCAATGTATAATCCTCCTCTTTCCTTACCACCGGTAGATCGAATATTGTTGACGTCTATTTGTTCTCTTACTTGACAAACAGTAGTTTACATGATGCAGTCTTCAGTTTACTCTATAGCTCAAACACCAGTAGTTTACATGATGCAGTCTTCAGTTTACTCTATAGCTCAAACACCAGTAGTTTACATGATGCAGTCTTCAGTTTACTCTATAGCTCAAACACCAGTAGTTTACATGATGCAGTCTTCAGTTTACTCTATAGCTCAAACACCAGTAGTTTACATGATGCAGTCTTCAGTTTACTCTATAGCTCAAACACCAGTAGTTTACATGATGTAGTCTTCAGTTTACTCTATAGCTCAAACACCAGTAGTTTACATGATGCAGTCTTCAGTTTACTCTATAGCTCAAACACCAGTAGTTTACATGATGCAGTCTTCAGTTTACTCTATAGCTCAAACACCAGTAGTTTACATGATGCAGTCTTCAGTTTACCTATAGCTCAAACACCAGTAGTTTACATGATGCAGTCTTCAGTTTACTCTATAGCTCAAACACCAGTAGTTTACATGATGCAGTCTTCAGTTTACTCTATAGCTCAAACACCAGTAGTTTACATGATGTAGTCTTCAGTTTACTCTATAGCTCAAACACAGTAGTTTACATGATGCAGTCTTCGTTTACTCTATAGCTCAAACACCAGTAGTTTACATGATGCAGTCTTCAGTTTACTCTATAGCTCAAACACCAGTAGTTTACATGATGCAGTCTTCAGTTTACTCTATAGCTCAAACACCAGTAGTTTACATGATGCAGTCTTCAGTTTACTCTATAGCTCAAACACCAGTAGTTTACATGATGCAGTCTTCAGTTTACTCTATACTCAAACACCAGTAGTTTACATGATGCAGTCTTCAGTTTACTCTATAGCTCAAACACCAGTAGTTTACATGATGTAGTCTACACCAGTCTCTCAGCACAATAAGCAATAATTTACTAAATTCTTCTTTTCTTTACCACACGCAGCTAATTTACTCTGCATTTGTGGGCAACAGAGGCAGGGCCAGGAGCTAAGACCCTACCCTTGCCACTACGTGTAGGTGAACTTATGCCAGTGCACACACAACCAGACACCCACCCACACACACACACACACACACACACACACACACACACACACACACACACACACACACACACACATAGAGGTGGGGCACACCACCAAGTGCTGGACACAGTGCACACAACCGAGGAAGAAGTGAAGAGGCTTCTGAGTGAGCTAGATACCTCAAAGGCAATGGGGCCAGATAACATCTCCCCATGGGTCCTGAGAGAGGGAGCAGAGGCGCTATGTGTACCCCTAACAACAATATTCAATACATCTATCGAAACAGGGAGATTGCCTGAGGCATGGAAGACAGCAAATTTTAGTCCCAATTTTTAAAAAAAAGAGACAGACATGAAGCATTAAATTTACAGACCAGTGTCACTGAATGTATAGTATGCAAAATCATGGAGAAGATTATCAGGAGAAGAGTGGTGGAACCCCTAAAAAGGAATGATCTCATCAACAGCAGCCACATGGTTTCAGGGACGGGAAACCCTGTGTCAAAAAACCACTGGATTTCTATGACATGGTGACACAGTAAGACAAGAGAGAGAGGGGTGGGTGGATTGCATTTTCTTGGACTGCAAGAAGGCGTTTGACACATTTCCCACACAAGAGATTGGTGCAAAAAACTGGAGGACAAAGCAGGGATAACAGGGAAAAACAGACAAGGTGGACAAAGACAGGATGTTCCAGAGTTTGGGGACACAGTAACAAGGGGACACAGTTGGAAGCTGAAGACACAGATGAATCACAGGGATGTTAGGAAGTATTTCTTCAGCCACGTAGTCAGTAAGTGGAATAGTTTGGGAAGCGATTTTAGTGGAGGCAGGATCCAACATAGCTTTAAGCAGAGGTATGATAAAGCTCACGGCTCAGGGAGAGTGACCTAGTAGCGATCAGTGAAGAGGCGGGGCCAGGAGCTCGGACTCGACCCCCGCAACCTCAACTAGGTGAGTACATACACATACAAAACACACACACACACACGCACACACACACACACACACACACAAACAAAACGCCCCCCACATCCAATGCCCCCCCCCACTACATTACAAACTCCACCCCCACAGCAACAACCCATAGTTCGTTACCAGGTCTCCCACTTCCCCAACCCCAATATACCTCCCAGACCACAGTCTTAGAAAAGAAGTTGAAGGTGTGGTATACAAATGCAGATGGAATAACAAACAAGTATGAGGAGTGGCACGAAAGAATCAAAGAGACATCCCCAGACATAATAGCACTCACAGAAACAAAACTCACCAGAATAACAGATTCAATCTTTCCATTCCGGATATAAAATTTCCTCAGGAAAGACAGAGGGAGGGGGAAGGGGGAGGAGGAGTTGCACTGCTCTTTAAAAAAACCATGGGGTTTTGAGAAAATGGAAGGAATGGATGGCACGGGCGAAAGGGACTACTTAGTAATAACAATCCAGTCTGAGGGACATAAGGTGATAATTGCAGTAATGTACAACCCACCACAGAACTGCAGGGGGCCCAAGAGAAGAATACGATGAGAGCAACAGAGCAATGATCGACACACTAGCCGAGGTGGCCAGGAGAGCACACATGGGGGAGCAAAGTTGCTAGTTATGGGTGATTTCAATCACAAGGAGATTTTACTGGAAAACCTGGAGCCCCATGGGGTCCCGAAACATGGAGAGCCAAGATGATGGATGTGGTACTGGAAAACCCTATGCATCAACAGTTAGAGACACTACCAGAGAGAGAGGAGAGGATGAACCAGCAAAGGTTTGGACCTTGTATTCACCATGAGTAGTTCGGACATCGAGGGTATCATAATGAAAGGCCCCTGGGAGCTAGTGATCATGTGGTTCTGTGCTTCGACTACATAGTTGAGCTCCAAGTGGAGGGGAAATAGCAGAAAGGCTGGGAAAAAACCAAACTACAAAAAGGGGGAAACTACTCAGGCATGAGGGAACTTTCCCTTTAAGACGTTCAGTGGGAGAGGGAACTGACAGGAAAACCAGTACATGAAAGATGGACTATGTAGCACAACAATTTCAAGGAGGCAGAGAAGAGGTTTGTTTCCCCAAGGGAAACAGAAATAATGGGGAAAACATAACGAGTCTTTGGTTCAACCAAAGGTGTAGGGAGGCAAAACTAGGTGTACTAGAGAATGGAAAAGGTACATTAGACAGAGAACTCAGGAAAATAAAGAAATCAGCCCAAGAGCCAGAAACGAATATGCCCCAGATAAGAAGGGAAGTCAGAGGACAATATGAAAATGACATAGCATCAAAAATAAAGACTGACCCGAAGCTGTTGTACTGTCACATCAGGAGGAAAACAAAAAGTCAAGGCCAGGTAATCAGACTGAGGAAGGGTGATGGGAATTCACAAGAAACGACCGAGAGGTATGTCAGGAGCTCAACACAAGATTTAAAGAGGTAAATTTTCAGTGGAAACCAATAGGACTCCAAGAAATCAGAACAGGGGGGCACACCAGCAAGTGCTGGAGGAGGTACATATAACCAAGGAGGAGGTGAAGAAGCTGCTATGCGAACTTGACACCTCAAAGGCGGTGGGACCAGACAACATCTCTCCATGGGTCCTTAAAGAGGGAGCAGAGATATTGGTGTGAGCCATTAACAAAGATCTCAACACATCATTTGAAATGGGCAACTCCCTGAGGTATGGAAAATGGCAAAAAGTAGTCCAAAATTTTTTTAAAAAAGGGGGACAGACATGAGGCACTAAACTACAGACCTGTATCCCCTAACGTGTATAGTATGCAAGGTCATGGAGAAGATCATAGGAGGAGAGTGGTGGGCACCTGGAAAGAAACAAGTGTATAATTGACAACCAGCACGGTTTCAGGGAAGGGAAAATCCTGTGTCACAAACCTACTAGAGTTTTATGACAAGGTGACAGAAGTAAGACAAGAGAGAGAGGGGTGGATCGACTGCGTATTTTTGGACTGCAAGAAGGCCTTCGACACAGTTCCTCACAAGAGGTTACTGCAAAAGCTAGAGGACCAGGCACACGTAACAGGAAAGGCACTGCAATGGATCAGAGAATATTGACGGGAGGCAACAACGAGTCATGGTACGGCGACGAGGTGTCAGAGTGGGCGCCTGTGACAAGCGGGGTTCCACAGGGGTCAGTCCTAGGACCTGTGCTGTTCTTGGTATACGTGAACGACATAACGGAAGGGATAGACTCAGAAGTGTCCTTGTTTGCAGATGATGTGAAGTTAATGAGAAGAATCAAATCGGACGAGGATCAGGCAGGACTTCAAAGAGACCTGGACAGGCTACAAGCCTGGTCCAGCAACTGGCTCCTTGAATTTAACCCTGCCAAATGCAAAGTCATGAAGATTGGGGAAGGGCAAAGAAGACCGCCTTATATAGTGCCAGGAGGTGAGACGTAGGTTGCGTCTCACCTCCTGGCACTATATAAGGCTCCGTCCTGTCACTTCAACTTCATATTGTTTCAGACAACGGAACAATGCTCTTCTCCAGACTGAGGGACTGACCACCTCAAAACTTTAAGGGTGATGGACTGATTACATCGTCTTCAAGTATCTTCTGCTTCTATCAACTTTTCTGTACTCGACTGAAGAAGCCTACTGTGTAGGCGAAACGTTTCGAAATAAAGATACCTAACTGTTGCATATGTGTCTTACCTAACAAATAGCGTTCCGTTATCTTAATAAGGAATTGTTTAAGACTCTGTATACTGTGTACGCCAGGTGCATACTGGAGTATGCAGCACCGGTTTGGAACCCACAGCTCTTCAAACACATCAATA